CAGAGTATTTGTCATATAAAAAGAGAATATATAGTGTGTTGGATTGGTCCAGACGCTACACTTTTTATATGAGTTATTCAGCGCTAATACAGCTTGATGTACAAATGAATTCTTTAACTTAATTCGGCTGTATCTTGGGACCTTATAATGTCGATTAGATGGCAACAATACAAATTCATTATACAACACATTAGGTTCAGAAACAATGGAATTAGCTAATCTTACAAGATTATTATGGTAAAATAGTTCATATGCTTTTTGAAGTGGCTGACTCACAATTTTGGAGCACACTTTTAGTAAGTTCATTAGCTTTGTTTTTAGACTAACATAAAATAAAATCAAATATTGGAATGTAATATTATCAGTGCCGGGTAGTAACTGATTACATGTAATCTGGATTACGTAATCAGATTCCAAAAGTGTAGTTCTTGTAATTAGATTATATTACGTTTTAAAATGCTCTATCAGATTACAGTTAGTTTTTTTATGGAATATCATTCTAATACTTCTGCGTCCCACCATGTCTCATCTAAACCAACTTTAACTTTGAAAATTAATTTTGCACTTTTTTGAAGTCAAACAGTAAATGACCAATCGTTGATGTTCCTATACTCTTAAAAATAAAGCTTCTTTATTGGTGTGCGTATGCGTGTGTGTGTGTGTGTGTGCGTATGCGTGTGTGTGTGTGTGTGTGCGTATGCGTGTGTGTGTGTGTGTGTGTGTGTGTGTGTGTATGCATTTGTGTGTGTGTTTGACCCAGAGACATTTTTAGAACGGAACAGGCTGAGTTGCAATGCCAATCCATGATTCACTTGCTGCTCTGCTACTTGCCTCTTACTCTCTTCACAAGAGAGGCAGAGAGAAGTGCTTATTGCCCTTCTGCCCCCTTAATACCTGTAATGCCCTCTGTGTTCATCAAATACACCACAGTAAGAGACTCTTCCAAACTGCTTGCTCCGATAGTCCATCTGACAATCCAAACCATTTTTTCGCTTGTCCTCTAGACACACTGGATCTACGGATATCTCTATATTTCACACTCACTATACTTTGTTTAAATAGAAGCGTCATAAAAGAAGCTTTTAGGTTGTACAGAAGCTCCTGGAGATGATTTATTTGAAAGTATGTCGGTGAATGTCTCTGCTGTAATCCTGGTAGACCCATTTGGTCCATTTTTCCTGAAAGTATGTGATTCAGGCTAAGTGAGCTTTCCCTCGGTAAACGGTATGCAGAAATGCAGTGAGAGTGCTGCTTCTTTAAAAGATAACTGTACAAGTAAGAATTGAGGTCAGCTCTTACAGTTTTCCTCATTATTGAGTGCTAAAAAATCTGTAATAAAAAATATTGTTGTGCTATATGATTGTGTCAATGTTAAACAAACAAGAAACTGCAGAAAATGTGCTTACATGGAGAAGCTGTAGCTTGTCAAGCATCAAACTATTAATAATTTCAACAAATTAAATTACGAATGAATTATGAATAAATAAGATTTATGCCTATACTTTAAACACATAAATGCTGAACTGTTTGCATTTGTATTATGCTTTGAAAATATACTTAAATGAGCATTTGCATTTTTAATAAATTTTGAGATATATATAATTGATGTGTATAATTAGTTAATTATACTTGGTTAACACACTCAGACTATGGATGTATGGATGTGTCAAACATCATGGATTGATGCTGTTTGTGTTAGTGGAAACATCTCAAATGAGCCCTGGTCCACCTCTCCATAAATCTAGAACAAAAGTGTAGTTCTTGTAATTAGATTATATTACGTTTTAAAATGCTCTATCAGATTACAGTTAGTTTTTTTATGGAATATCATTCTAATACTTCTGCGTCCCACCATGTCTCATCTAAACCAACTTTAACTTTGAAAATTAATTTTGCACTTTTTTGAAGTCAAACAGTAAATGACCAATCGTTGATGTTCCTATACTCTTAAAAATAAAGCTTCTTTATTGGTGTGCGTATGCGTGTGTGTGTGTGTGTGTGTGTGTGTGCGTATGCGCGTGTGTGTGTGTGTGTGTGCGTATGTGTGTGTGTGTGTGCGTATGCGTGTGTGTGTGTGCATGTGCGTGTGTGTGTGTGTGCGTATGCATGTGTGTGTGTGTGTGCGTATGTGTGTGTGCGTATGCATGTGTGTGTGTGCGCGTATGCGTGTGTGTGCGCGTGTGTGTATGCGTGTGTGTGCGCGTGTGTGTGTGCATGTGTGTGTGTGTGCGTGTGTGTGCGTGTGTGTGTGTGTGTGTGTGTGTATGCATTTGTGTGTGTGTGCGCGTATGCGTGTGTGTGTGTGTGCGTGTGCGTGTGTGTGTGTGTGTGTGTGTGCGTATGCATGTGTGTGTGTGTGTGTGTGCGTATGTGCGTATGCATGTGTGTGTGTGCGCGTATGCGTGTGTGTGCGCGTGTGTGTATGCGTGTGTGTGCGCGTGTGTGTGTGCATGTGTGTGTGTGTGCGTGTGTGTGCGTGTGTGTGTGTGTGTGTGTGTATGCATTTGTGTGTGTGTGCGCGTCTGCGTGTGTGTGTGTGTGCGTGTGCGTGCATGTGTGTGTGTGTGCGTGTGCGTGCATGTGTGTGTGTGTGCGTGTGCGTGCATGTGTGTGTGTGTGCGTGTGCGTGCATGTGTGTGTGTGTGCGTGTGCGTGTGTGTGTGTGTGTGTGTGTGCGTATGCATGTGTGTGTGTGTTTTCATCTGGTTTCTGATTCCATCATTCCAATACTTCTGCATCTCTCAATGTGTCTTTTTAAACATTTTAAACCATCTAAACCAACTTCACCCATTTTCATTTCTATATTGACACTTTATTTTAACACTTCAGTAACTAAAAGTTAACAAAATCTAATATTAAAATGTATTATTATTGTATCAGCAAAATGACCTATTTTCCAGGTGATCTGGTGCATCCTGACCAGAAAATCAGATTATAATTAATACTTTTTTTGTTTAAGTTTGCATTTAAGTTGCTTTATTTACATTTTGAGTTTTGATGGTGGGTTTGTTTCATGTTTTGTTCTATTTTATGAATTGGTGTTTTGAAGCTAGGCTGTTTTTGTTTTGTTTCATGTGCATTTTCGTCTTTTTGTTTTTATTCCATTCATTCTGCATTTGACAATGTCCCCTTTTGAAACATTTTAGACCAACTTTACAGAACTTCACTCAAAAGCAACAAGACGTTCATAAAATCAAATATTGAAATGCATTATTACTTACAACTTCATTTCCAAGTGAACTGATGCATCCCGACCAGAAAATTCAGATTATAATTGTCACTTTCAGCCATTCAGTGCAATGACAATTCTCTAAAAATAACATGTTTCATACAGATCCTTCACAGTGATGTTTACATTTGTTGTTGTTCTTTACAGAAGCTCGTCTTCATCAGCAGCAGCAGCATCAGAAGTCTTCAGCTGAGAAACACTGAAACGGTCAGAAGACGCAACACAGCGTGCAGCTAATCGCAGCTTTCGACAGACCCGAAACCACAGATATTCAGCATCTGCTCTGAACGCCTCACCCTTGTTCTCTCCTCAAGCTTTGTGGTTTTCATTGCAATGACTTTGATTTTGAAATAACCCTGAATTCTCGAGCAACAGCAATGTTTTATGTGTGAATTTACATCATTTAAGAAAGTTAATGTCAACGGGTGAGGTAAATCTTGGCAATTTAGTCATACTACAGTTGAGGTCAAAAGTTTACACCCCCCTTTCAGAATCTGCAAAATGTTAATTATTTTACCAAAATAAGAGGGATCATACAAAATGCATGTTATTGTTTATTTAGTACTGCCCTTAATTAGATATTTCACATAAAAGATGTTTACATATTGTCCACAAGAGAAAATAATAGTTGAATCTTGATCTTTAAATTCAAAAAGTTTTCACCACCCGGCCCTTAATGCATGGTTTTTCCTCTCAGAATCATACAGTCATTGTTGGAAAGGGTGCAAATACACAAAAATGCTGGAAAACCAAAGAATTTGTGGGAGCTGGCGGATTTCTCTGAAGAACAGCAGAAAGTTTTAACTGTTCAGGACAAACAATGGACTCATGAACAACTATCACTAAACAAAAAAACACAGCTGTGGATCATTAAGGTAACAAGTGGAAAGGGTGCAAATACACAAAAATGCTGGAAAACCAAAGAATTTGTGGGAGCTGGCGGATTTCTCTGAAGAACAGCAGAAAGTTTTAACTGTTCAGGACAAACAATGGACTCATGAACAACTATCACTAAACAAAAAAAAACACAGCTGTGGATCATTCAGCTAACAACACAGTATTAAAAATCAACTTTTGAAAACTTTTGAACGGGGTAATTTTTTCTCTTATTCAGGTCAGTACTAAATAAACAATAACATGCATTTTGTATGATCCATCTTATTTTGGTAAAATAATTAACATTTTGCAGATTCTGAACCTCAACCTGACCTCCACCGTATATATGAAATCGAGTTACGTTTTAATGGACGAATATGTGATTCAGCTGTGGAGAAACTGCAGTTGATCAGTTTGACATCAAACAACATTCAGCATTAACTGAGAGCGAAGGCTGATCCGATGATGCATGTCAAACCTTCACTTATTCAGTCATTATTTGCTCGCTTTCATGTCATTGCAAAATCATATGCTGTTCATTTCTGAAGAATCTTAATGCAGCTAAGAGATGAGCTCTTGTTGAATGGAAAAGCATTTCCTCAACCTGACCTCCACCGTATATGAAATCGAGTTACGTTTTAATGGACGAATATGTGATTCAGCTGTGGAGAAACTGCAGTTGATCAGTTTGACAACATTCAGCATTAACTGAGAGCGAAGGCTGATCCGATGATGCATGTCAAACCTTCACTTATTCAGTCATTATTTGCTCGCTTTCATGTCATTGCAAAATCATATGCTGTTCATTTCTGAAGAATCTTAATGCAGCTAAGAGATGAGCTCTTGTTGAATGGAAAAGCATTTCCCAAAAGCATCGTAAGCCTAATTAGATTGCAGAGATCGTTGGTGCCAATGTTTTTTGACGATCTACTAAGGCTCATGATGCTTTTGGGAAATGCTTGACTCATAACTCAAAACAACATGAGTGTGATTAAATAATTTCATTTTTGGTTGAACTGTTCCTTTTATTGGGCATAAACGATCCAATTGTTGCCTCATTAATATGTTAGCAATATTTCATTAAAGATTAACAGAGAGTGTTTTGTTTATTAATGATTACATACGCGTGTTTTCTGATGAAATGATGTAAACTGTTTATGTTCTTGGCTGTAGAGATATTGTTGTGGCAGTCAGTGAATGTTGATGTTGATATTTATTTATGTGTGTATTGCAACGCTTCATTTGTATGTGTGTGTGTGTGTGTGTGTGTATTTTTTCCATGTATTAGCAAGGCAGACAACTTCTTGTAAAGACAATGTAAAAAAGTGAATTGTACATATAGTCATATGTTCCGTTATTTCCCTGGATAGAACCTGTACATACTTTTAAATAATAAAATAATCCCTCTACTCCTTCATCTGTAGTCCTGTGTTTATGGAAAACATTTGCATTGATGAACCTCCGATCTGTGAGAAAGAAAATTGTTCTGTTGAACACTATAAAAGCAATCAACATCATTTGTAAAATATATGAAATACTTGTTTACTTGCATGTAATTTGACTGTTAACCCATTAGAAAACGATGGACATGTGAAGAAATTCTTGAAATATTAACTTGATAGCCAAAGGGGTTTGGTTGATAAATAAAAGATTGAGAATCACTGATTTGAGTGTTGAAACGGCTGCCTTGTTTCACCTTCGCCATGACTCTGAGTGAGTCTTTACATTGGATGTTATTATTCAGGTAAGTTTGATTTACTTCCTTGTCAAGATTCAAGTAGTTATAAGAGAAACAAATCTTTTCGAAACTTTGAATCAGTTGAACCAAATACTTAGCATGATGATTCACTGTTGATAACTGTTTGCTGGTGATAATAAGTCCAAACCTTATACTACAAATGTGTCAATTAATGTGTCTACAAATGTACAAAACAGGTAAAAATCACACGTTAACAGAAATTTCGAAACCATTATGACATAAAAATAAACCTGAAATCTTGTCTGATGTACTCCGTATTACTAGTTTGGAAAAGTGACATGATGAGAAACTAACCTTTTCAAAGCTTTGAATCAATTGATTCTTAGCAGGGTTTGATTGACAGGCGATCTGACCAATCATAGCCGAATCTGCCATGTTGTCCAACAAACAAACCAGACAGGAGAGTAGATTTACGTCGATGTACTTAAATTTGAAAAATGGTGTGCATTGACTTCTTTCTGTAGTTGAGACAACATACTTCTGATGTTCATTCATGTTTATTTCGTGCTATAACTAGTAAAGAGGAAGAGATGATCAGTTCACAATGTATTTTTTTACTACGTGAGAGCGCCATGGCTTGTCGGACATAGCAACGGTAACAAAGGGGGGCGGGTCTTATACTAACTGCTTCGTAAAACGATTCACTTTTTCGACGTGCACAAAACTCCACACGCTGGTGACGTCGAACACTGTGTAAATGCAACAAAAACTCAGGCCAAAGCATGCATAACAATGCTTTTACAAACTTAAAGTATAATGTATTAAAAGCTTCACGAAGCACTGCTTCTAAAGCCCCCATCACTAGTTTGAAACATTATTTGCAAAGCTTTACGAGGCAGTGTTTTGCAAGTGTGCATCTCTAGAATTGTACAGTATTTGAGCACTGAAGGCTGTGGGAGTCCTGAACGCCAGTGTTGTGTTTTTCCTTTCTGAAAATGTTGGCAGCTCTTTTTACACCAGAAACAAGGCTGAAGTCCAGTTATTTCAGTCCATTATCCAGTGACCTTCTGTCCCTGCTCTCTTCATCCATCAGTGATGTTCTTTCACTATGTTTATGTACAGGTCTATTATGTCACAATCGATTAGTTCCTGACTGTCTATGTGAGTTAATCCTCTTGAGCTCAGCTCTGCTTTCTTTCTCTCGGGGTCAAAACCAGAATCTTCTATTCAGTCCTGCTTTCCTACAAATGTCATGCCGTTCGTCAGAAGCCTTCAAAACGTCTTAAAAGCAACAAAGGACAGTGACAATCAACAGTGTTATGTGGATCCTACTTTTAAATGCTCTAAAGAGGAAATCTGATAATGCATTATAATGTTTTCATATGATCAAGAGTTTTCGTGCAAGCATGTTTTGATGCACTGATTGAGATTCCTCTGGGGTTTTGATCTTGTGTCTTTGTTGTCGTTTAGCAGGAGGGTTTGAGGACTGACAGCGTCTCACGTGTCTCGTTTTCTCCTCTGAACCGGTTCTGGAGATTAACGCAGTACTCAGCTGCTCTTTTCTGTTCGCTGCAGCTCTCATGCGACCTTCACTGTGTGCTTTTCATCTCGACGCACGTGATTTACATTCTTTGCTGTGCTAAAATCTGATAATGCATTATAATGTTTTCATATGATCAAGAGTTTTCGTGCAAGCATGTTTTGATGCACTGATTGAGATTCCTCTGGGGTTTTGATCTTGTGTCTTTGTTGTCGTTTAGCATGGAGGGTTTGAGGACTGACAGCGTCTCACGTGTCTCGTTTTCTCCTCTGAACCGGTTCTGGAGATTAACGCAGTACTCAGCTGCTCTTTTCTGTTCGCTGCAGCTCTCATGCGACCTTCACTGTGTGCTTTTCATCTCGACGCACGTGATTTACATTCTTTGCTGTGCTGGTCTTGCTTACATAAAGAGTATTAATTTTTGTTTTAGTTTGCTTTATTTACATTTGTAGTGTTTTGTTGGTGGTTTTGTTTGATGATTTGTTCTATTTGATTTATTTCTGAGCATTTAAATATTGTTTTGTTTTGAATTTGTACTGTTTTTGTTTTGTTTGTATTTTCATGTTGTTTTTGTTTTTTTATTCTATCATTCCAATACTTCTGCATCCCACAGTGTCCCTTTCTGATATTTTCAAACCAATATTCACAACTTTAATTTTCACAACTTTAATTTTCACTTTGGCTCGTTTGTATTTTGTTTTCGATCCCATCGTTCCAATACTTCTGGATTCTACAATGTCCCTTTTTAATAATTTTAAACCATCTAAATCAACTTTAACCTTTTAAATGTTTACATGGGCACTGTTTTGAAATCAATCTGTTAAATGACTGTTGATGTGCCTACAATCTTAAAAATAAAGGTTTTTCACTGGCATTTAATTTTACATCCATGGAATCTTTCCATTGCACAAAAGGTTTCTTCTTTATAGTGGAAAAATAGTTCTTCGTATTAAGAAAATAATGGTTCTTTTTAAGAACTGTTCATTGAAATGTGCTTTGAAGAACCAAAAATGCTTCTTCTGTGGCATCGTTTTGACAAAACACTCTTTTGGGACCTGTATTTGTTGGTTTTGTTGCATGTTTTGTTCTGCTTTATTTATTTGTGAATATTTAAATATTTAGTGTTTTGAATGTAGAATTTAGTTTTTTTTGTCTTGTTTTGTTTATGATCCAATCATTCCAGTACTTCTGCATCCCTTTTTAATAATTTTAAACCATCTAAACCAACTTTAAATGTTTACATTTTCTATATTGGGACTTCTTCGAAAGTCAAATAGTAAATGATCTGTTGACGTTCTTAAGGTGGAACGATTATCTTATCATCCATCAAAACGTTCCATTGGACAAAAGGTTCTTTATATTGGAAAACAGACTATTAAAATGTTCTTCACACTAATT